CCCCCCCCCCCCCCCCCACCCTGTTCTTGAGGGCCCAAAGAAGTAGCATTTGTAATAGGGCTGCATTAGCATTTGCTACCTCTGGCAGGGAGGATCTTGTTCCAGAACCCAGTCTTTAGGCAGTGAGCGTGCTTTAACTAGGCCGTGCACCAGAAGTCTAGTGTCTCTGGCTTCCTAGTGGGGCAGGATATCCATCAGTACAAAGCGTGGGTAGTGAGCAGGCACTAAGTCGCTGCCTTTTTTACCTGCTTATGAAATGGGTTTCTGTTCCTCTTGACTGCTGCAGCACTGTCTCTGTCTCTCTCCTTTGTACAAGTGCATAGCTAATGCACTTGCTTCTCCTGGCCTTGAAGGGCTAGCAAACATTTATTTATTTCCTTACTTCATTTTTACCTTGCCTTTCTCCCCAGTGGGGACCCAAAGCAGTTTTAAATTTTTCTCCTAACCCCCACTTTATTTTCACGTGTAGGCTATCTACAGAGTGGGGGTTCTCCCAGATCCTATTCTGGCCCTCTAACCACTATACCATGGAACACATTCATGATAGGACCTCGCTCCAGCCTCGTGTTGTTGCTGTAGTAGAGGGAAATTGTGTACAATTACAATATTTGCAGGTCTGCTTCAGTGCTGTTGCTTCCGATTTAAGAAGCTGTAACTGGCAGGGGGTTAAGGTACTTAATAGAGAGATTTCTCCCCTGGAAGCAACTCGAGGGACCCTCCTTGACAGCCTGATGGCTGCCACTGGCAAGCTGTGGACCAAAATGTGGGGCCGCAGGCCCCATTCCCCCCCATTCTACAGAAGGCCTTATCTTCAAATGATGATCCTACAGACGCATAAGCGAATATAGCTTAAAATATTTGTTAAAGTTTATCTTTTGAACAATTCCAAATGTGCCAGCTTATTTAAGTATGCTCTCTGTCTGTTATCAAAACCAGTGCTTCCAAGCATTACATTAAAAGGTGTAATACCAAAACACTTACCAGAGCAAATAAGAACATGAATGGATAGAGGCACGAGGAAGGGGGGGGGGGCTGGCTGCTGCTTCCCCTCCCTCGGATGGCCTCGCAGGTGGTGGCTGCTAGTTGGAGGTTCTCATTGGAGTGCCTTAAGAACCTAAGAAGAGCCATGTTGGGTCAGATCAATGGTCCATCTAGTCCAGCATCCGGTCTCACACCAGTTCCTCTGGACAGCCAACAACAGGGCCTTCCCATGATGTTGCCCCCTGACTCTGGGATTCAGAGGCTTAGTGCCCTTGAATGTGGAGGTTCCCCTCAGTCACCATGGCTAGTAGCTGATAGACTTGGCCTCCATGAATCTATTGAATCCCCTTTTAAAGCTGTTTATTCCTGTGGCCATCACTACATCCTCTGGCAGCAAATTCCACATTGTAATCACTCTCTGTGTAAAGTAGCATTTCCTTTTGGCCGTCCTGAACCTACTGCCCATCAGATTCAGGTGAGCAGCTGTGTTGGTCTGAAGCAGCAGAACAAAGTTTGAGTTCAGTGGGGGCACCTTTAAGACCAACCGTTTTATTCAAGGTATAAGCTTTCATGTGCATGCAGATACAGTGTGCATGCACATGAAGGCTTATACCTTGAATAAAACGGTTGATCTTAAAGGTGCCACTGGACTCAAACTTTGTTCTGGTACTGCCCGTCAGTTTCATTGGATGCCCTCGAGTTCTAGTATTTTGGGAGAGGGAGAGAAATTTCTCTTGGTCCACTCTCTCCATCCCATGCATATTTTTATAAACCTCCATCATGTCCCTCCCCCTTAGTCGTCTCTTTTCTAAACTGAAAAGTCCCAAACTCTTCAGCCTTTTCTCATAGGGAAGGTGCTTCGCTCCTCTCCTCATCTTGGTTGCCCTCCGCTGCACTTCCCCAACTTTGCAATGTTCTTTTTGAGATACAGGGACCAAAACTGTACACAGTATTCCAAATGAGGTTGCACCATAGGTCTATACAGGTCCTATTGCAGGGGCATTACAATATGGGCCATTTTATTTTCAGTCCCTTTCCTTATAATCCCTAGCATCACTGTGGCAGCACTCTGAGTTGACACTTCCGTTGAGCTCTCCACCACGACCAGAAGATCTTTTTCCCTCTCGGTCTCAGCAAGTTCAGACCTCATTAGCCTATACTTGAAGTTGGGATTTTTTGTCCCAATGTGCATTACTTGGCCACTACACTACCCACCCCCAGTTCCAGGTCATTTATGAATAAATTAAATAGTACTGGCCCCAATACCCATCCTTGTGGGACCCCACTGCTTACTTCCCTCCATTGTGAGAATTGTCCATTGATTCCGACTCTGTGCTTCCTGTCATTTAACCAGTTTTTGATTCATAGGAGAACCCACCTTCTTATCCTCATACCCCCTGGCTGCTAAGTCCTTATTTCCACGGCTGATTTGGAGGGTGGTGCTGTTCGAAGATTAAAAAGTAAATTTCGGAATCTGCACTCTTTGTTTGTCTCAATTGGACCTCACACTTGCACATTACAAGTTAACCTTCAGGATGATATAAATGGCTGCTGCACAGATTGCACACCCTTGCTTCAGTTGCAATGTGGAACATCCATGGCAGTTCTTAATGTGAGCTTGTTCTTCCCCTCTCTTAGGTCATGACCACAATGTTTCATCCGTAGCCATCATGCCCAATGGGGATCATATAGTGTCTGCCTCAAGGGATAAAACCATCAAAATGTGGGAGGTTCAAACAGGGTAAGTTCTGTCTAATGTGTTCCCACAAAGGAAGGAGACTTTGTTTCCACACTGTTTGTGCCAGTATAAATCTACTGAGATTCTTTACAACGAAGTGTTGGAATGTGGCTGGGTTGTTCTGGTGGGGAACCCACTTCTGTTTGACACCTTGGGTAATTAAGCCCCCCAAAGTGTTGAGTACTTACTCAGATTTCTCTTTTCTGTTGCTTGTATACTTTTTGCAGAACTGCTGTTGGGTCCACACAGTCTGGCACTTGCTGAGAGCCACCGTAAAGCAGTCTCACTGGGTGGTTCTTGCCTTCCATACACACCCCCCCTCCAGTGGGCAGGGTCTGTAATAGGGCCAAGAACTGGCTGTGCCTTCCTGCATGGTTGGCTTTGTCTTCCAGCAAGGTAGTACTTGCGCATCCCAGTGCTGGGTCAGATTCGAGGTCACCTAGTCCAGCATTTTGGGGTGGTCAGATGCTCAGTGAGGACTATGGAGGTTCCATTCTTAGTGATTACAGCTTTTAAGAACAAATGTGAATGCCCTCCAAAAAGGTTTTTTTCCAATTTTTACTACTGAAAAATTTGAATTTTGGGGGAGAACAGGGGAAACTCATATGAAATATTTCTACCTCGTTGGACTGGGGGAGATCAGAAGGAGGTAGGATAGAAACTGTGTTAAAGCCTCAGAGGAAAATTGAGAACTGAGCTCTCTCTGACCAGATAGGAAAAATTGGGGTTATGCTAAGGTAGCAAAGGGTGTATCAGCTTGTAGTTTTCTCTCAAGGATTGGGTGTATTTGCAATTTTGCTTGTAGAAAACTTAAAGCATTTATAAGTCTTGAATCCCATAAATATGTCAAATATTGCAATTCTATATGCTAAGTTATAAATTATGCATTTTATGTTGTTAAAGCAGTAAAATTATTCTAGGTTTGATAGGACAGTAAGTATTGTGTATGTTTCAATTGTTTCTCAAATTTCTGTTGTTTCCCAAAAAATAGGGGCATTTCCCCCCACGGCTTCAAAATTTCTGGAAATTTTACATTTCTGCTTATAAGCCATTGGTGATCCCTGCTGTTTGGGAGAAAGCAATTGTCTGTCAACAGTTCCCACACTCCAGTTTGTACACCACATTACTGCACCTGGAGTTTGGGCAGGTCTCAGGAGGATGTTTCCTTACTTTCTCAAGGAAAACGGTCTGAGAAGATCTCCCCATCATCTTTGATATTTTTATTGCCTTTTTAAATGGAGTCTCTCATCATCCTAGGAAAACAACCCTGATCTTTTTTGACTGAACTCCTGGTTCGTCTTTGGGGCTTCTGTGCAGTCCCACCTGAGACTGTGTGCACAGAGGCCAGCCGCAGAGAGCATTCTTACAAGTTTCCTTTCCTTTTAGTCCCTTAGAAGCTCATTGATTAACAAATCTTGAGCAACAGAAGATTCTCCATCCAGCTGGAACGAATTTTGCTATTGCCAGACTGATCTTAAGATCCTTATCGCTAAGAAAAGGAGCCAGAGCTTCCAGGGTGTAAGGGGATGATTGGTCAGTTAGAGGCTTAATATAATGACCCCTTATATTCTCAAAACACCTGCATGCAAGCAAAACACGAAAAAATGTGTCAATCCTATTAAGGCCACAAGGGCAAACGGTATCAAAATAAGACCTATTTAGGAATCCCCCCTGTAAAACCATTGGGGGTATAATATTCAATCTTGCGAATAAGAAAGCTCTGCAGATCATGGGGTAATAATATAGTATACATGGGTGGTGTTGGTAAAGTATTTGTGAAAAAGAGACCAAAAGACAGGGGGGAGCGAACTTGGTGGGCTCTTGAGATCAAACTGCTGTAATCAATTTCTAGGACATGCTTTTTGATCAAAGAAAACGCTTTTGATTTGCCCATATCAGAAATATGATTAGCCGACTTTCAAACTAGTGTCAGTTTCTCATCCAGGCTTTCATCCAAATCAGGTGGTGGATATCATCCAAATCAGTTGGTGGATATCCCATTTCAGGGTGGCTAGCAAGCCATCTTCAGTACAGAACAGTTTGAAGGCATAGAGCCATTCTCTTGTTTCCAGGGATATTTGTCCAAATTATGCCCGCAATACAACATTTAATACAGAACAGGGGATATGTGGAATTTTTTTAAAAAAACTGGGCCAGAAGTTGATCAATATTATCAGGAATAGCTTTGATCCAAATAGCCGAGCCATAAGGAATAAGGGGGACGACTTTCAAGTTAAAGGCTTGTACAGCTCCAGGAAAATATTCCCCCCCCCCCCCCCCCCCCCCAATTATGGAAAAACCTATTTATAGCATTTGCACATGGTTTTGCTTTGCTGAATGCTGTTCTAAGTTGGGGGGTGGTCCAAGATAAATCTTCCAAGAACAGGATCCCCAAATAGAAGGCCTTAACCTTCTCAATATTGGACCCATTGATTGCGGGTTCCATTTCCTGGTCTTGGTAAAAACTAAGATCTTAGATTTCAGATGATCAATCACCAGGCTTTCTCGGGAACAATAACTGGAGAAAGATTGCAAGGCTCTTTGTAAACCAACCCTGGTTTGAGACAAAAGAACAGCATCATCCATAGAAATCAGGACAGGGAGACAAGTCTCTGCCCATTTCTCTGGATGGCAGCAGTTGTCAAAAATTGATGCTAAATCATTTAGATATAAATTGAATAAAGAAGGTGCTGGCAAACATCACTGTCTTACGCCCTTTTTCAAGTGAAATAAATTTGTTAAGTGCCCTTCATACCCACAGCAAACTTGGGCAGTCAAGCTCAAATACAGTAACTGGATAAGTCCATAGTAGTTTGATTAAATTTATTACACAATCTGGGATGATTTATAGAATCAAAGGCCCCCTTAAGGTCAATAAAGCCCACATATAATTGCCCCCCCTTAAAAGTTGAATATTTCTCAGCCAAATGGTAAAGAACTAGACAATTGCCATATGTCGAAGAACCCCACCTACAGCCTATTTGTTCATACCCCAGTATGGCTTGTGATTCCATCCAATCCAAAGGTTTCTTGCGTAGATAAGCAGAATATAACTTTCCCAAAGAGAAAAAGAGGCTAATTGGTCAATAGCAGGATGGGTCCAGTTTAGATCCCTTTTTAAATATTGAGACAGTAATCAAATATCTCCATGAATCAGGCATTTGTCCACTGGAATTAATTTGAGTAAAAGTTTGGGGCTATGACTGTGGCCCACCATTGTGGATAATTCATTGGGCATTAGATTAGAGCCAGGGGCTTTTCCTAATTTTAATCCCTTAATAAGGCATATAACTTCCTTGATTGATACCTCTGGCCAAAGTGCTGTTAAATCAAGAGAAATAATAGTCGAAGATGAGCTAGGCATATTAGCATTGGAAAGTAGCCTCTTGAAACGGTTTCCCCGTGCTGAGAGGGCAATACAGCATGGGGATTTTAAAATCTGGATTAATAGCCGTGTTAACAATGGACCAGAAGGCCTTATCATTGCAGTAAATAGCTAAAATGAGACATCCCCATTCCTTCCTCAGGGCTGTCCTCATATTAATCAGCTCTCTATAAATTTTCTTCAGTTCCATCAACTCTCAGAGAACTGATATTGTACCATTACTTTTAAACTCAGAATACTTCTGTTGAATGCACCTCTTCATTATTCTACAGTCACTGTTAAACCAGCTATTCCTCTTGGCTTCAAAGATGTCCTGTCAATTTTTTTTTTCTCACATAGAGAGGTCTAAACAGTTCTAATACCTCATGCAAGTTATACAAACAGTTGGAACCTGACTTCAGAACCCTCTTAACTAAGGTATTACAAAGAATGGAAGCCATTATACTTAGAGCCTTAGAACTAGAGTTAGAGCTCCAGTGTAATTCACAAACTTTGTTTTGATTTTGAGAGAGAGAAGCTTGGTGTAGTGGTTAAGTGTGCGGACTCTAATCTGGGAGAACCAGGTTTGATTCCCCACTCCTCCACTTGCACCTGCTGATGTGACCTTGGGTCAGTCACAAGCTCTGGCACAGCTGTCCTTGAAAAAGAGCCGTTTGTGTCAGAGTTCTCTCAGCCCCACCCACCTCACAGGGTGTCTGTTGTGGGGAGGGGAAGGGAAAGGAGTTTGTAAGCCGCTCTGAGACTCCGAGTGAAGGGCGGGGTATAAATCCAATCTCCTCCTCCTCCTCCTCCTCCTCCTCCTCGTCGTGCTGGCGCAGAATAGTGTTCGACA